CAGCAGGCCATGGAAGTTTCTACACTCTATTCAATGGGATGGGGTCCTGCTGAGTATCAACAGTGCACTAGATCGATACTATAAAACAGAGATTATACTTCACATAATCGTCAAGCTCCTGACTGATGCTCAGAGAACCTACCGAGAATCTCCACCACCCTCGCAGCAGCTCCGAACACTTCGATATCATCCCCACTGAGCATCACATAGGTGTCAGATTATCTGAACGAATTCATCGAGACAACCCACCTGAGTGTTGCGTCACTGCGTCGTGGAAGACCCTCACATTCACTGGTATCAACGGCCGACGTGGGGGCTTCTTATCTCCTGAAAATCAACCAATGCCATACCATGAACATGGGAAATCACTTGTCACCTCCTCCGGTATCCATCCCGGCACCGAACGACATCTGAAGATAAACAGCCACTGATTTCGTATAGGCTAGGACTATACTCGCACATTTTCCACAACGATTGCTTATTCACGAAATCCTCGAGAAGCAAAGCATCACAACAGTGAAGATGAATGCGACATGCGACAAATGCAAGGCTACTGTGCAGCCTGAGCAACTCACTCTGCCAAAAGATGATCTCCCACCAGACTGGGATCCGAATCCGGGAGTACTGGCCATCGCTGTAGTTGATGTATCCCCACCAAAGCCACCGAAACCACCGAAGCCACCGAATGACATTTGCGGGCAAGGTCAACTCTGGCAACAAATTGTCCAACTACGTTTCGCCGAATCAAGTCAGCTGCGCCAAGATAATCGATGAATATTCCTAGCGCGACACAAGATAGAACGTCGCTCGAAGACTTGTCTATTCTATATCCCGTTGAATATCAACAACCCAGAACAGATGGGGAAATGCCTTCAACGGAATCTGATAAGACTCTGAACATGCGGTAGATGCTCAAGATCCCGGAGAATCACTGCATGATCACTGAGTCGATTTCTGTGACGAGGTGAGACAAACATGGATGCCCCATTTTGCGATAAACACTATTTGCCACGGAGATGCTACTGGTACTCAGACGATCGAGAATTGACGACCCTGAGAAACCCTGAGACTAAGTCTTGGCGCGAGCCGACACTGATAACTCGAAAGTTTCATGTGAACAACGTCTAGGTCAGTGACATGCGGACTTGGCGAACTGATCGAAGAAGGTTTCCTTTATAGATGGGGCGTACTGAAATTGAGATGATGAGGTCAAAGGAAGGATCAAAACTGACTTACAGTCTCCTCAGTTCGCATCCTCACTCTGTTTTGATCCTCAGCGAGCCGCATATTCTCTTCTACCAGCGCTTTGGCAGCACTCCGACGCTGCTTCTCTTGCTCATCATGGATCTGAATACAGTAGTTACCCACAATGATGTCCAATGCAAGAACAAATACCACTATTTTCTTCACCTCTACAAGCCAACGCGACTCACTCTCACAGCCTCCAAACGTTGAGCTTCAGCTTGCGCTGCATCCCGGGCTGTCCTGTCATTCTCCTCAGTGACTCTCCTAATCCTTTGTTCAACCTGGAAATGACGAAGGCTCCAACAGGACCATTCATGGGCGAGATAATATACCGACAGAGCGGAGAGTCCCAAGCCGGATGGTCACCTGTTGAGCCTGCGACTCCAGAACTTCCTGCTTTCCCTTAAGAGAAACACCCTTGAAATCAGAATTCGTCCCAATGTCACCGTTCAACAGCTCGCTGATCGCCACCAATCGCTACGTCAGTTCATCGATCAGAGACTACCTTTGACGTAGGTGGAAATCGATGTCCCGTATCGCGCTTGCCTCCGAGTATTGTGACATCCTTTTTTGTTTCTCATCCGTCCTTTTTGCAGCTCCCTAAATACATGCTCCATTTCTCAAAAGCATGCACTGACAATTCAACTCACGCATTATACTCGTCTAGAGCTCGTCGCGCAGCTCTCGTCGACGCCTCCTCTTCAGTGTCAATAGCAAGCCTAGTCTCGAAGTCCAACTTCGAAAGTTCAGCAAATGCTAGTTCGAGTGCAGCTTCCCCTATCATAACAATCTGGATAACCTAATGCGGCCCCGTTTCTATTACGTTCAAGTAGCTCTTTATTCTCCTCCTCTTGCCCCTCCAAGCCTCGCTGAAATAGAGAGAGCTAGTACCAGTTCTCAAGGAGCGCATTATCAACGATAGTAAACCATGCTATAATACATGTGTAATAGTACATTATACACATAGTACAGTTATAAGTACACTAGTACTGTAATACTCATACTATTGCTATACATGTATAAGTGCAAGAAGATGAATGAGAGAATAAGAACTATGAGAGATAAGCCTGGTAGATCACGGTACCACTGCATCACACGGAGCCCGCAAAGGCCCAACTCGCGAACTATAGTAATGACGCATCTAACGCTGCTAGCCGCAATGCACAAATATATGATATGCACAGTTCGTCGATTGATAAGAGGGTGATGTGAATCAGCGAGTCGCATAAGAACAGGTGAGTGAGTTACGCGCACCCTTGCATGTTCTCTGAGAAACACAATCTATGATCCTCACCACGAGTTCTTCTTGCATTGCTTTCTTATCCTCAACGAATTCTCCAGCGAATACCTGAAACACTAACAGATACTCTCGAGCACATAAACACGGAGCATCCCCACCTGAGCAGCGCTCGGACCGACATGCTCGATATCGATCGACAAGTCCCTACGAATAACAGAATGTTCTCGATCATAGAACATTAGAGCCAGGTATAACCGACCTCTTGGGGTCGCTGAGAAAATACTCCCGTCGAGCGGTCTTTCCTAGCTTGTTCAGAGAGTGATGTCGAGCCGATGCCTCTCTCTGGCGTTGATCTTCCTGGCGTTCTGCCTCAATCCTGTGTGAACGGAGAGGGATGAGAGAGTATCAGACCTCCCGAATAACCCACTGTTGCGCTATTCTGTCTAGTTTTTCCAGAACGGCTCTGTCATCTCTGGCCATATCAGCTTCGCTTGACGACACTCGTTTTTGTGAGCA